GCCGCCGCCGCCGCCAGGGCAGTTAAACCCCAAAGTCCACGGCTCCGCTGAGTGTTTGCAGACTACGTGGGCCCGAAAGTCCCCAAGCTGCGAACACCTGCAGAATTCAGTGATTTAATATAGGGGCCTCAATAACTACCCATATGCCTGTTTAATTTTGGGGGTTCCTTACTATGATTTGTTTTTATACTATAAAGGACCGCACAATCCTATTCTACCTATTAAGGCTCCTATGTAATGCAAACCCTTGCGAGTTTAGAGTTCAGGGTGGTGAGCGCTGAACTGTACCATGGCCACATCTACCCTAAAAAATCGTCGGCAGCAAGACCAGAAGGACACACCCAAAGCCCATATTCCGAGCTTGCCGCATCATCAGAATCGAAATAGAAGACGTAAGACTCACTGCTGTCTGTACACCAGCTCAGAAAGGCCATATTGATGGCAATGCCATCAATAGAAGATCATGACAAGAAGTCGCTCTCGTCGCTATGCCGCAGTCTGCAATGGTGAAAAATCGAAATACAAGAAGGCGCGGATGATAGTCATCCGATGACACATTGTAACGCTGGAAGGCCAGATGATTGATTGCTTCTTCTCATATCACTGTTGTTTGGCACAATCTTCTGATGCTATACTTCTTATTATTCTTAGTTCTTGTTTCTACAATAATAACCATAATGATAATAATAAGCATCATCATCATCATAATAATAATACTAATTATCGCTGTTGTCGTTATTCGTACCCTCAACCCTAAACCCTTGTTCATTTTATCCCCAGTACGGGATAGTACACTTTACAGTCCTCTGCTCTCTACTGTAGATCGTGAGATGTCCCAGTAGCAATCTCAGACCCTTATCTGGCATGCCAGCCGACTGCGAGTGACCCTAAACCCTACAGTAAACCCCAAAAAGTTGGAAACCGGATTACGGACAAATAGTGCTGGGATTCCCTATACACTACTCTTAAGGATTGAGGCTATTGGGTTTCCAACTTTCGGGCTTCTACTGTAAACCCTAAACCCCAAACCCAAAACCCTGTCCCTAAACCCTCAACCCGTGAGTCGAAACCCTCAGCCCTGACGGTCTCAGTTCGGCTCCCGCGGGCTCTCCGTGCTTCCAAGCGAGTGCAGCTGCGCGCCGCGCCGTCGGAGCTGCTTTGGCTGTCTATGGTTCAGGGCTAACGGCTTATACTGTGGATTTCAGGTTTCCATAGGGATGTTAAGTCTACGGTGTTACAGGGTTTCATTAAGGGATAAGCTGGCTTTGGACTAGGGCGTCTGGATGTGGCCCAAATCCAAGCTTCATCCCGTCCGTGGACTGTTTCGTAGTAAGTTGCATGTCCCTAAAACGAGGAACCCTGAGCAGCTAAAACCCTAAACCCCAAACCCTTGAAGGCATCAAGTCATCTTGTTTTCACGCCGACTGCGAACACATGGATCCTCGCCTGGCTTGTCCAATTTGTGAGAGTGTAAACTGTAAACCCTTGAAGGCCAAGCTTTTGAGAAGCTACCCGTCGGCTTCCGGCTTGGCCAACCGAGATGAAAGACCTTGTGGAAGTTTCAGAAAGCAGGGGAGCCCAATGTAGACCCTGGTAGTAGGATCCATATAAGGATCCGAAATGTTGGGAAATTAAATGTTAAATCCTGATTCAAGCCACCCTTCTACGGGTGACTATGGTTTAGGGTTTAGGGTTACTAGTCGCGTGGCTACCTACCAGGCGTCGTTCTTGCAAGCCTGCAGCAAAAGGGTTACTAGTCGCACGAGTCCACAGCACAGTCGGCGCCTTGGTTCCTGGCATATGCCTAGTCCAGGTGTAAAAAGGGGTTACTAGTCGCCGTTGCAAAAGGGTCTATGAGTGGGTCACCCACTTCTGCGACGAGGCAAGCGGACGCTCTGCCATGGGTGGTGCAACTCCCAGGCTGCCCCGGAGAAGCATCGACACGGAGAGCCCAATACCCATAATATAGGGGCCTTAATAATTAGAATAATAATAATAATAAAATAATAATAATTAATAATAATAATAATTAGAATACGGGTTTTGGGGCCACTTATACTATACTTATTATAATGAAAAACCACCGAAACCCTAGTCTAATTATGAAGGCACCTATATTAGCCTTGGTTTGAATTAGGTTAGTTGGGTGGCTTGATAGCCTGTCAGTAGGACCTTCAGCCTTGGAAAGAGCGGGTTTAGGGTTTAGGGTTTCACCGAAAGCATCCACCCCTACTTGTACCTTGACCATCAGCAGAAGGGACTATAGAACGAATGTGGAAAAAGGATTCCGGCCGAAAGCACGTCGCAGTAAGACGGGTACGAAGCTTTACACCAAACAGGGTGGACCTACCTTCATAAATGGTAGCAGGGAATGGGGCGCAAAAGCATAGAGGTGAGGATTAAATCGCGAGGTGATTGATTAGGACTCTTGCGGGACACACGATTTCAAATGAGTGATCTGAGCTGCTTGCTTGAGGACCGGGTAGCTCTTTCATGCAGAGTATTGAGAGCAACTCTGATTGGTTTCTTCGGGCCCTATTTCGCACGTGCATGGGGGCAGGTGCCCTGGTTCTGACCACGGGTCGGACTCAGAGTCTGGAGCTGAGTTCTGAATCGAGGCCTTCCATCCTGTGGAATTTGGGTTTCAAGGCGGATGTTGTCGGGTATGGTTACCATCCCAACGCAGCTTCACACGAAGTGCGCTTGGGTTGCAGCATTGCTTCAGCGCTACTTCTCCCCTGTCTGACAACGCCGATGCCCAAGTGTGAATCGAGTCGCTAGTTGTTGCGAAACCACATCAGCCACAGCAACGGCTGAAACTCAACGGCTGAAGCTGCGATTACCGCTTTTGCGGTCGTCATTTCTTTCATATCACTCAAGCTGAGGCGGCTGGGTCGAGCTCCACTTTGCGCATGGCGGCAAAGGCGAGGCCTGCGCATGGACTCACGGGGACACGAGTTCTCCGGGTTCTTTCGCACGCATGACATGGCATCAACCGTATAGTTCCGAAGATGGCTGTACCACGGTATACCGGTACACCCCAAAGCCCTATTCCTACCTGTTGAGGCCCCGAAAGTAAGCAACTCGCCCTGAGGTTGGGCGCCTCTTGCCGAGTTTGTCACCGACAACCGGCACGGCTGGCACGGAGATGCCTGGGAGCACTGCGGTGGGACGGAGGCCCTCGTGTCCTTGGCTCCAGGGTTTTACATAAATGCTCTACTGTACGCCAAAAACCCTAGTGTAATTATACAGGCCTCTATTACTGCGTATTTGGGTGGCGTTAGCCTTGGGGTTGAATGATTTTAGGGTCTAGGCTTAAGGGACATCGCTTTCCTTCATGTCCTTGCTTCTACAGCTGCGCCATCAGAGGGTGCATATCCAGGCATGAGCCCAACAAGCCTGTCGCAAAAGGGGACATGGCCATTTGGGGCTGGACATGATGGCCTCGAACAGTTTGGTTTCATGCGTTGTTTTTTCTGCGCGCTCGTGCCAGAAATTGCAACAGACGGCAACGCCTAAGTTTCGCGCATGTTGGTGTGTCTTTTCCCCCGTTCAGGCTGCCATCGCGGTGCATCAGGAAGCGGCTTGATCAGCAAGCTTGCTACTTATGCTTGCATCAGAACTAGAAAAAGTCTGTTGCATTTTGGATATGCCAGTCCAGCAAAAACCTTCAAGTTTCCAGAAAAGTCTTGCTTGTGGCCGGCTTTGCGGCTAGATTCGGCTAGATGTCGCTGCGCCGATATTTCTGGCAAGTGTGAAGCGCCCCTCCCCCCCCCCCCCCCCCCTTGCCAGGAACTGGGTCGCCCCGACCAACACAGAAGCATCAGTTTCTACACGGCAATACAGGGCTGCCCCTACATTTGAATACTCCTTCACTCCGATTTACCATGAGGGGGTTCATATTGGATATCCACATCCGACATGTCGGCTCTTGGTGTTTTTTGGCTCTACTGAGCACTGCGTTTCCTTGTGAGCTGGTTCCGAATCTAGCGTTGTTATACTTTAGTTGAGTTCCCTCAGGGCCTCCGTCCGAAAGTTGAGTTCTTGTTGAGGAAGTCTAGTTAAGTTACCGTCGCAGGGTCTACGAAGTTTTCGGCACGTAACACGGTATCTCATGGTCTCTGCGTCGGTGTGAAAGTGTCGATCGCCGACAGTAGAAAGCCTCCCTACGAGGGCTAATTTGTGACATCTGCTTTCGGTTTCCGTCTAGCTGCGGCGTACACCTGACTGGAGACCCTGAACCCCGAAAGCCGTCAGCATGATCAGACCTGACCAACACAGCACAATCGTCTGAATTGAGCAGCTCCCGGTCAGGATTCTGTATGGCACTGTATGTCATCAACGTTGCTGCTGCCAGTTCTGCTCTACTGGTGATGATGATGACGATCATGATGGCGATGATGATGCTTATGGTGTCGGCTGACACCCCTCGGCCTCCAGGGCGAGTATCGAAATCGAGATGAAGACATCATCTGGCGTTGCCAGTATGTCAGGTTGGATTGAGGGTTTAGACTCGTTTTTTCGAGCTTCACAGATTGGGCCTATGCAGCGCGGGAGGGATAGAGCTGTACTGTACTGCTAAGGAGCTGCTGCATATCGCGCGGCAACCCCCAGTACTGCCGACTGAATTGGCTCAAGGACCCTCGTCGGCCGGCAGACCTGTTCTACTAAGAAGAATTGCAGCTCTGCAGAGGGGCGGGGGTGGGGCAGAGTGAAGACGAAGACACCCCGTGAAAGCTTGAAGATCGTCTGAGCCGAGGAAGCTTTCGTATAGAGAAGTCCGGCCAGCAAGCGCCGCTTTGCACGAGTTGGTATGGCATCGGGTTGCGCGTCTCCGTGCAGGATGTGGAGTAGTGGAAACAGAACCCCCGGATAATTGGACTAGACTAGGGTTGGCAAGTTTTCTCGGTCTGCCCTCTGTGCGACTAAGATTGAATCTTGCAATGCTAAGACCGATCATGCTTATATGACCATGCGAGCACATATTCGCGTTTATCAAGGCATGTGTGGCTGCCGGACGTGCTGACGGCGGGCCGCCTGCCCTTGCTTCTGGTCCTCCACGGTTCAAGGCCTGGTTGTATGCACCGAACAGAAACGACCATCTAGTGATATTTACTAGTCATGCCAGGCTTACATTGCTGCTCCTGCAGGCGTCTGCCACTGATACCGCTGCTACGCTCTTAATGCCGCCCCTCCAACTGCTTCTCCGCACACCAGCACCAGCACCTCCGCCCCCACCCGTGCGACCGCTATGTCCTACCCCTCCTACAACTCCTGCTACTCCTGCTGCTCCTGCTTCTGCTACTTGGTCCCGGGGCTATCTTGTATCAACTGGGTGTTTTACGCATCTGCAAGGCGTCTACTTCGTGGAACGCATCATAGACGTTATATCATCTTATCAAGCTCTATATCTTCACCTTCATATTCTTCGGCGTCTGCAGCACTTTCTCGCATCTGTCAGTGTCAGTGG